CGGCCTAATTATTCTTTTGCACGCTGCATTTGCATTCTCAAAGGCTAAAGATTCAATTATTATCTGACTAGCCTGTGAATTCGGGACCATTTTTTGTACTGCTGAAGTCAATCTTTGTAAGAAGTCTGTGAAAGATTCTTTGGGGCCCTGTATAACCTTTGTAAATGACTCAGTTTTTTTTTCCTGGTTCTTCAACTCTGTCCCATGCATTCAAAGCTGCTGTTTTACATAGAAGTAGGGTTTGGACATCATATGAACATTGTGTTTGTACTGAAGCATATTGGCCTTCGCCAATAAGCTGATCCTGGCAGACTTGTATTCCGCTATCCCTCCATTGTCTTTCTATATTTTTAGCCTCATTACTGAACCACATTTTCCACTGGAGATTTTGTCCGGGTTCAAGAACAGCCTGTGCCAATTCCCGCCAGTCCTTTGGTATAATCCTATTACAAGTTGACCAGGTGTTTAACATTTGCTTTACATATGGGGAGTGCATGCCATAAGATGCTATTGCCTCCTTAAATCTTCGTAAGTCTAACATTTCAACTGGAACCCAAGTATTTTGTTCATTCTCTTCATCAGGTAGCTGCTGTACGGCTACTGGATAAATTAAGGGTGATTGTGTGAAAACTGGCTTTCTTTCTGTAACCTTACGATCCAATTTTAAAACAACTTCACTATTTATTTCTTCTGTCTGAATTTGAATTTCTCTATAATTCATTTTTACCGGTTTAACAAGTTTTTCTAAGACTGTTATCCTGGCACTTAAGTTGACGATCTTTTTAAATAGTAAAATGAGGATAAGAAAAGTAATAAACTGAATAATTCGATCAATATTAATCTTTTCATATAGTTGTTCCATTGTCAGAGTGCCTAAAATTTCAAACAAAGCCCAATTTTCTTCCAATGTACACATAAAGCCCTTTTTTTTTTTTAATGTAGAAAAAAATTCTCTTTTAAATAGATATGTTAATTGACTTACCAAGTCTGGGTAGAACAGTAGAATCCCAGGGAATTTCACAGCCACCTGGTGTTCGAGGTGTGAATCCAGCGAGAGAGAGAGAGAGAGAGAGAGAGAGAGAGAGAGAGAGAGAGAGAGAGAGAGAGAGAGAGAGAAAAGTGTAGCCGCTTGAGCCGAGTCAAGCCTTGGCTTTACAGGCAGGGGCCCTGTTCAGCGGGGCAGGTCTGAGTTGTTTGTAGCAGTTCCAGCTGCGGGTCAGTCAGGCCTGGGCCCAAGCTAGGCAGCCGGGCCGCCCAGGCTGGAAACCGGACCTGCCGCCAAGCCAAGCCAATCGGTTTTTAATGAATTCTTGTCACGTTGGGCGCCAAATGTAGATGTATCCAACCTTCCCATCAAACAATAAACACAGAACCAATGCAAAGAAGAAAGCCAAGAGGTCAGAGCCAAGAGCCAAAACCTTACCCTTCCTCCTGCAGTGGTCCTACCTCTCCGAACCAGAGCTACCCCTGTGTTAAAGTCTTTATATAGAGTTCCTGTCCTGCCTTCTCATTGGTTGTAAACCCAACCACATGACCGCCTCCTCACAGCCTGTCTGTATAGGCCTCCAGGTTTTCCATGATTGGTATTAAGATTAAAGGCATGTGTATCCAATAATGGCTGTATCCCTGAACACACAGAGACTTACCCAGCTCTGCCTACTAAGTGCTGGAATTACAAGCGTACGCTACCACTGCCCTGCTTTCCTATGGCTTGCTAATAGCTCTGACCCCCGGGCAACTTTATTTATTAACATACAAATAACATTTTAATACAAATAAAATATCACCATAGGTCTTCATCATTTTCCGTCTTGCAGTGCTGTTGTTTCTGTCATGCTATGCCAGTGTTGTTCTAGTTCCTCTATTTACAATTTGTCTCCCTGAAAGTTTGTGGATCATCTCTTTGTCCTCAATATTGTGAAATTCACAACAAAGTCCATCATTGAATCTGTTTTTTGTTTTGTTTTATTGTTGGTTATGCTGACTACACATCCAGTTATTCCAACATGAGAGCTCATTTTCTTCTTGCACATGTAGTTGTGTGCTAGCTTAATTCAGGAGTTGAAGTGCTAGAAGAGCTTTGGTTACACAGAACTTCTGAGTTAGTGGCTTTAGTTCTTGAGAATTCACAGAATTTTACTGACTACAGATAGGGTAGGATTTTAGGAAGGACATTGCTGTAGATGAAAGCTTAAGGAAAACTAAGCTAGCAGAGTGCCTGTGTAGCAGGAGCAGGTCCCTGAGAGAGGGAACCACTGAATTGAGTGTAGAGGATTGAAAATAAATTGACACCATATGATTGCAATAATAATGCTGCTTTCTAATTATATGATCCATTTCATTCGTACTCTATCTTTACACAAAAGGCTAGGACAGGTTTTTCCACCTTTGCATAGTTAAATGAGAATGGATTTTCTACTAGATAAAAAGTATGGCAGTTTTATTCCAGTTATCTATGTAACAAAACATGAACAGCTTAGTAGCTTCAAATAACTGCTAAATGTTTTAGTAACTCAGCTGGGCAGTTTTCTCTTATGGTTTCTCATTCTGTTGCAGTCAGATAGTTGTAGGGTGGGCAGTAAGCCCCTGAAGATTTGACAAGGCTATACATACAATATAGCCCACATATTCGGAACTAGTTATTAGAGTGCCTACTTGTGACTTTAACATGTAGCTTGTGCTTTTAAAAGCATGATTACTTTACTCATTCATTTATTCATGCGTGCTAAGAGACAGCAAGAAGAGAACTAATTAAGGGCTGACAACTGACTTAGTTCACTGCTGTCACGTTCTGTTGCTCAGAACAGTCTCGGAACCTGCCTAGATTCATGGATAAACACAACTCTGTCTTTCCCTGAAGGACTGTCCATGTCACATTGTTACAGAAGAACAGGGCATGGTAGATATTATTATCTCTGGACATTTAAATATGAAAACTCCTTATTAAGAACATAAATAATTGTGTATAATTCCTATACCAATATATTCTTGCATAAATATTATGTATGTATATGCATGTGTATAGATATTACATGTATGTATCTGCTTATATATGTATATACCCATATACATAATTATATACATATATACTACACATATACTCTTACTTTATTAAAGCTGTTATATCAAAATTCTATAAGCTGTAAAGAACAGAAATTTATTCATCATAGCTCTGGAGTCTGGGAAATCTAAGATAAAGATACTCACAGAGTTACTGTCATGGGAGAGCCCATTTCCACATAGCTGGTACCTTCTCACTACATCCTACATTGTGTAGGAGATGAACAAACTCCATTGAGCAATTTTATAAGGGCACCAATGGTATTTGGGTTCTGCCCTCTTGACTTTAATCATCTCCCCAAAGGTCCTGCCTTCTAGTACCATTGCCTTAGGAGTTAGAATTTTGATATGTGAATTTTGGTGTGACGCAAACATTTACATTGTAGCACATGGGCTGCAGAGATGGCTTAGCAATTAAGAGCACTGGCTGCTTTTCCAGAAGACCTGTGTTCTATTTACAGCACCAACATGGCAAATTACAACTGTCTGTAACTCCAATTCCAGGGGTATCCAGTGCCTTCTTTAGTCCTCTGTGGGCACCAGACTTGCATGTGATACACAGACACACATTTAGACAAAAAAACCGATGAACTTAAAATAAAAAAATTAATCTTTATAAAAATAATAAATCATAACACATATGTACACATGTGATACACTGATGTCAGTGCACTTCCTTATGCTTGGTCTAAAAAAGAAAAAGAACTCCACTTTTAAATAGTACATAAATCTCAGAGCTACTTAGCAACTGAATTCCCCTTTAATTGAAGTTACTGTTCCCTGAGAAACTGTTTGATGTTTCCTAGAGCCTCAGCATCCTTTTACATCACTCTCAGGGATGATCTTGCCCTTTATTTCTTTGAGAATAAAGTAATCAAAGGAAAAAACTTCAGTCATTTCATTAAATTTCCAACTCTCTGTGTCATTACCCATACTAGAAGCTTTTCCTTTCTGTGATAATATGGTTACTCCTTTCTACCCATGGATTCATGTGATTATGGAACATAAATATTTGAAAAAAATTGCATTGGGCATTTGTTGATTGATCATTAAAAACATTCTTTATAGATTTGTTTTATTCCAAATTGTTCAGTAATCATATAAAATCATTTTTGTCTTTGAAAGAAACAGAATCCTAACTAAGTATTCAAAAGTCAAGATTTTGCTTCTATGAAATAAGACTTTCAGTTCTTAAATTTTTATTCTGAACATTTTTTGAAGCATCAACTCTGAGTGCTTAGTTTTGGTTTTGTTTTTTTACTTGCAAGGTAATAAACACTATAATGCCCTTAATTAAGTTCATTATGATGTTTCTACTTAACTTTTGTAAACGTAAGGATCTTTATTAAGCTGAAAGGAGTAGAGAGTAGAAATCAGTTACTCTAGGGACCCACACTGTTTAAAAGAAGCTAATTAGAAAGCTAGATGAGGCCTAGAAACCAAGAAAGGAATCTCACTCCTGAGACTGGCTTTATATGAAACCTTAGTTGCTTCAAAATAGGGCAGTTAATTCTCTCCCTCCTCCTTTTAACTTGACTATCCCTCCTGATGAAACTAGAGGTTTTGCCAGATGGTTGAAGTCTTTGCTGTTAAGTGCATTATTACTTCCGTTGTGAAATCAGCTTTGGGCTCTTGTGTAAGTTACTTTTCTGATTAAGCTTAATAACTTTGATTTTCTTTGAGATGAGTAGTCCAGAAAGGGATAGAGGGGGTACTTTTTCCATGATCCAGATTATTTACACTGCCTTGTTAGATAGCACTGTGTGCACAAATTTTTAGACAGTAGGAAGTCAAAACTTTGTTTCTAAGTAAGCTCCTTCTTACATTGCCTTTATAGTTCAGGGAAATGAGCACTTTTCATAGTTTAACTATTTTTCTTTCTCTTTTCATTCCCTTTCCATATCCCTTTTATATTTCACCCACACCAAAATACCTTTCAGAAACACAAAGTAGATCTTTTCTACAAACTACGCCATGTGATGAATGAACTTATTGACCTGCGAAGGCAGCTACTGTCTGGTCACCTGACACAGGATCAGGTGCGGGAGGTTAAACGGCACATCACCGTGCGCCTGGACTGGGGTAATGAGTAAGTATGACTATTACTTGGGCATCTCTTAGTTTCATTGTGACTCAGTGAATTTAAACTTGATCTAGGATTCTCTTTAATGATTAAAAGATAGTATATCTTCTGTACAGTTTCGCTAGGTATCATTGTTTCTTCTCATTATCAAAGGGCATTCACTAGTTCTAGTCTGAAGTTTTCTTAGCCTGTGTTTTATTTCTGGAAAGAATTAAAGAATTGGACTGGGTTATCCTCTGAGCTGTCTTCCAGGAGATCAAATTCCTTTATTTTAAACCTCACTAATCACAGTATACTTAAAAAAATATTCTATAGTACTTTAGGGAAAAAAGGAGAGGGAGTCAGGAAAGATGGCTCAGCAGATAAAGGTACTTGCCACTGAACCTCCCAAATGGTGGAATCTCACATGAGAAACTGACTCCTCCAAGTTCTGATTCTGCATGGCATCTCCATGCATACACACACAACAAATAAATGAATATTGTGTGTGTATGAGAGAGAGAGAGAGAGAGAGAGAGAGAGAGAGAGAGAGAGAGAGAGAGAGAGGAAGAAGAGAGATTAGTGTTCTTTATACCTTTTCCAGACATACAATAAATCTGAATAATCATAATCTATAAATGAGGATTTATACTTCTGAATATTCTTAACTCATTTGTCATTCAGAAAGATTCCTGCATTTGTGCAGTGGATGTGATGATGTTCTGTGCTGTTAAAATAAAATTTCGGGGCTGGAGACATGGATCTGTGGTAAAGAGCACAGGCTACTCTTTTAGAAGACCTGGGTTCTATTGTCAGCACCAACATGGTGACTCACAACTGTCTGCAACTCCAGTTCTAGGGGATCTGCGGCTCACTTAATAGCTTCTTTGGCACCATACATTCACATGGTGCACAGATACATGCAGGTAAAACACACATGTACATAAAATAAATAAATATTTTTAAAAATAAAAACTGAGACTTTGTCATTATAAATTGAGATAGATTAAAGTATTTCTTCCTAAATTTAAAACTTATTCATGTTCATTGAACTTTGAAGCAACTAGGTTGTTTCCTACTTCGGACATATGTATTTACTTAAATATATTTAATATTTATGTTCTTCTCCCAACCAAGGCATACCTATTTCTGAAAGGTAGGAAGTAGTCTACTTGACAGAAGGAGCCAATATAGGCAGAGAGAACTTTAGCTATGTTGGAGACAGTCTGCTCTGAAGCTCCCAGAATCAGGGGATATGAGAGGGACATTAAAAGGTCATACTAATGGTTTGAAAGTCTGTATGAAGAATAATCATACCTTGAGAACAATTAGTAGCTACTTGTTTCCTCTTTATGTAAGCAAATAAGAAACCAACAGCCTCAGAGAACTGGGCAACAGGAGGGAGAATTGGGACCTTGTGTTTTGTGGCATTTAAAGATTTCATAGTATAATGATCAGGTCTCCCACTCTTACCAGAAAGGAAAGCCTGCCAGTTATCTATTCATGCACAAAATCTTTCTCTATTTCTTCCAGTGCATTTTACATACAAATGAACAATCAAATTTCACCAATATTTATATAAATGAAGCCTCAAGGAAGAGGAACACCAGAATTGAAAAAAAAATTACCAGGGCCTAGGGGAAATGACTTCTCCTTTGAGAGAAATAGAAATTAATTTATAAACTTTAAGAACAAAACAAATTCCCTCTGTATCTACAAAGAGAATCAAGAAGGCTCATTATGTAGAATTAGAGTCAATGAAAAAAATGAAGTAAACGATTTCTAAAATAAAACACTCAGATAAATTTTGTGTAATCGCCTTGAAAATAAAACAAAAAAGATGGAAAACAATTGAGTGAATACATTTACTGTTAGAGAATAATTACTGAGGAGGTTCAAGATCAGATATAATTCCCAGAAAAAGAACAAAGACAATGAAGTAGTATTTATAAAGAAACAGAAATTCCCAGAGCCCAGATAGAATAAGCAGCCTCCAGATAGAAAGGGCTCACCATACATTTAAAGGAATGAATGGAGTTTTTTTTTTAAAAAGTCCATATTAAGATACAAATTTGTTTATTCTAGGGGTGAAGAGAAATGCATTAAGATCCTTCGATAGAAAAACAGCTTCTCTTAGAAAAGAAAGTAATTACACTGACCTCAAAGATTTTATCAATAATAGCAAATACTGGAAGATAATAAAGTAGTTGCTTTAGAATTCCATAGGGGAAATGATAAACTAGCCAGAGTTTGTAAGAAGTCACACTAACTGATAGTGTCAAGATCAAATAAAGCCATTTTTAGATATAATAGCTATCTCTCATTTCCTTTCTGTGGGTGAAACTTGAAGAAAGAAACTGCAAAGTATATGAGTAAATCAGGAATGCCAGGCAGTGGTGATGCACACCTTTAATTATCCCAGCACTTAGGAAGCAGAGGCAGATGGATCTTTGTGAGTTCAAGGCCAGCCTGGTCTACAGAGTAAGTTCCAGGATAGTCAAAGCTACACAGAGAAACCCTGTCTCAAAAACCAACCAAACAAACAAACAAATAAAAAAGAGTAAGTAAGGAAATATGAACTCTAATAAATCTGAGTGGATCCAACTGAAAGTGATAATTGTTATTACTAATAATAAAAAAATAAGAGAAACACAGTTTAAATTAGTTGTTTATAGTTTTTCTGAAGGAACAGGATCCCTATCCCGGCTAGTTTTGTAACTGTACACTGTAATCTTTGTTATATACTAAACTACTTATGTACTATAGTATACATGAATTCAAGTATACTGATCAATAGTGGTCTCTAAATTCATGACTTGAAACAATTACAAAGCTCAGTAAAATATGTTAAATAACAGTATAGCTAGTGATTTTACCTCCTCAGCCCCAAACACTACTTATTATGTTATAAAATATCATTGCATTTTCTTTAAGAATCAATAGTAGTAACCAGTAGTGATGTACTACTTCAATCTCAGTGCACTGGAGGTAGAGGTAGAAGGATCTCTTTGAGTTTGAGGTCTGCCTGGTCTCACAGTGAGTTCTTTAGTCCTAGTTATCCAAGACTAAAGAGAGAGAGAGAGACCCTGTGTCAAAAAAAATCAATATTAGTAAATGAACTTGAATTGATGCCACTAATAGTTATGTAATTCATTATGTTGCAATTTAACTGCAACCATAAAACCAGTAAATAAAGTAAATAATATTTTTCCAAATATCAGTCACCTTTTTGCTGCAAAGCTTAAAAAACAAATCAAACATATTTTACAATCTTAATGAGGATAGTTTTAAGGTGGTATCTTAGAAACAAGTAGAAATTATTTTTTAAGAAAACTAAGTACACTGGAAATACCTTTCAGTAGCTGCAGAACTATTCCATTTTTATAACTTTTCCTCAATGTAGTATGTGTATATTGGGGGGTAATATGTCAATTTTAAATTAAAAAAAATAAACACAATTCCATTTCTTTCAGTCCTTTCCCTGTTCTCCATCATCCTTCTTCATGCACCACTTCTTTCCTCTAGTTTTCTTCTTTTTCCCAATAGAAAATAAAGTTGAAACTTAAACAAAAAATTTGTTGGTCTGTCTCTAGTTTGTCCTTGTTTTATTTATTCTTCTTTCTTACAATACATCCTGACCACAGCCTCTACTCCCTCCACTCCTCCCAGCACCTCCCCCTTCCCCAGAACCACTGCTCCTCCATTTCCCTTCAGAAAAGAGCAGACCTCACAGGGACATCAACTGAATACAGCATAACAAAATGCAATGAGACTAGATACAAACTCTCATATCAGTGCTGGACAAGGCAACCCAGTAGGAGGAAAAGAGTCCCAAGAGCAGGCAAAAGAGTAGGAGACACCACTGCTCCCACTGTTACATTGCAGAATATTTGTTTAACTATGTAAAGATGTGTTGAATTTGTTTATGTTGTGGAATATTTGTTTATGTAAAGATGTGTAGCTGTTTTACCTTGCCTGCCTAAGGCACCTGATTGGTCTAATAAAAAGCTGAATGGCCAATAGCAAGGGCAGAGGTATAGGCAGAACTTCCAGGCAGGAAGAGTAAGTAGGAGGAGGAATTTATGCTCAGGGAAGAAAGAAAAAGGGATTCCAGGGAGGTGTCAGGGGCCAGACAGACAGACATGGAGGAAGCAGGAAATAGGACATACAGAATGAGAGAAAGGTAAAAAGCTCTGAGGCAAATTGTAGATGAATAGAAACAGGTTAAATTAAGTTAAAAGAGCTAGTGGGACAGGCATAAGATACGGCTAAGCATTCATAATTAATAAGAAGTCTCCATGTCTTTATTTGGTAGCTAGCTGGTGGAACAAAGAAAATGCCTTTGACACTGTTAGTAGTTCACAAAATCCCCAAGCTAAACAATTACAACATATATGCAGAGGATCTAGCACAGACACATGTAGGCTCCATGATTGCCACTTCAGTGTCTGTAAGCCCCTATGAGCCCTGCTTACTTGATTCTGTGGGCTATTTTCTTCTGGTGTCCTGGATCCCTCTGGCTGCTACAGTCCTTCCTCCTCCTCTTCTGCTGGGTTCTCTGAGCCCTGCTTAATGTTTGGCTGTGGATCTCTGCATCTGCTTCCCATCAGTTGCTGGATGAAGCCTCTCTGATGATTATTGGGCTAGGCACTGATCTATGAGTATAGCAGAATATCATTAGTAATCATTTCATTGACTTTTTTGATCTCTATTTAAACAAACAAGCAAATAGACAAATCCAAAAATGTTTGCTCAGAAATGATATAACTTCTAGTTCTTGCTTGAGCTTTAATTTTTCCTTAATATTTTCAAAAGAAGAGATGATTTACTGTTAAGATGCTTCCTGCCTTTAAGTTATGTAAAAGAGACTATTTCACACCAAAGTTGAGTTGGAAAACCATATCCATCTTTCTTGTGTATACCAGAATATTTCTACACTTTGTATTCTACTATTCTTATATAAGTGCCATAAAACATTGGCACATAGCATATATTGGCATGTAGTAGATGCACTGTCAGTATTTGAT